GACATATATATAACACAAACACAATACTATTACTATATATGCGTATGAACAAGCTGGCCATTTATTTTATAACTAATTAACTTGGGATTCCATGATTATGGCCATTTTAGAGTATAGTAGCTTCTTCATGTTCAATCCTCCACATTTAGGGTTCAACCCTCATATGGTTTAGGTAGGTTTTCCCATCGAGTTTACGGGCGAAGACTCCTTTAACATATTCCTCCATCATGATCCTTTTATATAATGGTGGGTTTTGCTGATTTATCAGACTTGGTAAAGGTCCCACCTCTGCCTCAAATTTAGGGTTTATGAAGAAGGCTATGGACATTCTTTCTTTCTCTGAATTGACTGCTACCCTATGCTCGATGCTGTTGTATATGCCATTACTCAGTATCTGAAATAAACACACATCATGAGTGAAAAATGACTTCAAGAGCTAGGTTTTCTCAGTGAATATAATTGAACATGCATTTGCAGCATGGTTCACATTATGGCTTGACTAAATGCTTATATGCATTATTAAACAATAATTATTAAAGGAAGTGTGAGGCAAACCTCGAGAATGTCTCCTACATTGACTACAAGGGCATCTGGGAGAAAGCTAACGGGATACCATATCCCATCCCTTTTGATTTGTAGACCATCAACTCCATTAACTTGATTGAGGATGGTGATGCCAGTGGCGTCAGAATGAGGCGTAATTCCCATCACTAGCTCCGGCTGTGGGCATGGTGGATAGTGTGTCATCCTCACCGACTGCATTCCATCTACAAAAATCTCCATCTCTTTTACCTCAATTTTTAGAGCTTTTGCTATCAACCCAAAGAGTTCCATACCAAGATTTTGCAATTCCAACACGTAGGTGTCCAACGTACTCCTACAAATGTATAAGAGAAAGAAAAATGATATAAAAAGAAAAGCAATATTATAGCCTATGAATAAGGCAGTTTGCAAGTACTAGTAAAATTAGTTGGATTAAAAGTTCATATATTGATATTATCTATAAAAGTAATACCAACAATCTTGGGGTGCGTACCTTAAGGATGAAGGGAGCTCCGGGAGGAGGTATGGCTTCCTCCTATGAACCGGGTTGGTTATCATGTAGAACCTATCAGCCCAGTCAAGCTTTCCTTCAGGTCTGGCTACGGAACCATACCCTTCAACCTCCCCTGCCCTAATCCTGTACTTCATTTTCTCTTCCAAAGGAAGCTTAAAAAATCCTTCCATCTCATGTTTCAGCTTTTCCAGCAGCTCAGTGCTTACGCCATGGTTCACCAACTGCACAACAAAATTTCTAAATTCTTATCATATTCAATATTTTACTCATTAATTTCTTTCTGTAGGAAAGAAACATATTATCTAATAGTTTACTTTCTTTTAGGAGTACTTTTTTCTTGTACTTCCTGAACATGATTGAAAGGTGTTTGAGGAAAAACCTGAAAGAAACCCCAGTGTTGGCAAGCAGAATGCAACTTGTGTAGTTCGAGATGGAATTCCTCCATGGAAGCAAATCGATTCATGTCAATGATTGGTAGGAGTTGATTGGCATGTGGGACTGGGTTAGGATGTTCTTGTTTTGAGAGAATATAGTTTTGTGGGATTGTTTTTATTGGCTCTTTCAGGAGCTCTTGAATACTGACAACTGGTTCGGAGCTCCCGAAGACATTCTTTTGAGATGTTGCCATACTCGCTAAGTTTGAACTGTGCCCATGCTATCTTGAAGATGATTTATTTATACAGGAGGGAGAGTTGAAAGAACTGAATTTTAGAATAAGAAAATGAAATTCTCATAATTTCACATAATGGTAGTTATGAGTAACTTTTTTTAGTTGACGTTAAGCATGAATTAATATGGATTTATTAATTTTTTTAATGTGTGCACTTACAGTAAAATAAGATTTTCGGTGAATTAGCTTCATTTTTTCAGTATGTTTAACGAGCAACTCCGATGAAAACAAGTACCCTTTCATCAAGCAATATTAATATACACTAACTTCGACTCGACGTATGATAAGGGAAGGATTTTGAGATCTGTAATGATCTCGTGGAATATCATTCTTATAAACTAATTTATAGACTGGATCGTAAGGAAGATCATAAAATCTATGATGATCTTAAAGAATTTCAATCGTCTTGATACCGTGTAATATGTAACATGAGAACTTCTTTAGAGACTAATTAATATCTTTGATTTTTTTTTTTTTAATTTTAGATTACATAATAAAAAAATAATCATCTAATATTGTGTCAGACTGTGCTAAGCTAACATGGTGGGCTATCTTTTGGGCACCATAGCCTCTTTAATTCATTTAAACGAAAATTATTCATACCAGAATTCAATTATAAGAAAATTATTGATTTGAAGAATCCTAATGAATTAAATAGGAAACGCATCTCCTTACCGATCAATGTAAAAGCACGTTATTTAAAAGCTGCAACTATAGTTGACTATTATTGGATGTAAGATCTTGTACACCTTCCCATAAATAAAATTATTAAATTAAGAAATTGGAAAAGTTTAACACTCTCAAAAAAGAAGAAGCATAACCTAATTATGTTTGAAAAATTATTGATATATTTACTAATAAAACACACTTGTTAATACATTTATTGAGAAATTATTATTTTTAAATTTAAATTAAAAATAAAAAGTTTAAAGTTATGG